GATTCGCTATCTGATGATTCGTCTGAAGAACTGATGAATAAATCAGAGACAACATTTTCATAATTTAACTTGGCTTCATTTTCGTTTTCCAGATCAGAATTATTGTTCCTTATTTTGTCTTCCTTACATTTTTTGGCTGGAGGAAACAGAGAATGTTCGTCTTGTGTCTTCCTTTTAGCAGCATTGTCTGGCACACACTTCTTATCCAGAGATTCGTCCTCAGAAGATTCATCTGAAGAACTGACGAATAGATCAGAAAGAAGAGTTTCATACTTTATTTTTGTCTCATTTTTCTTGTCCTGACAGCAAGTCTTGTTGCTCATTTTTCCTTCATTAGATTTTTTGGATGGAGGAAAAAGAGAATTTTCCTCTTCTCTCTTCCTTTTAGCAGCATTGTCTGGCACACACTTGTATTTATTTGATGAATCCATTACTGATGTTTATACTAACAAGAGTAACAAGATATACAGATTACCAGTATAACCTGCTATAATATATCTCTCTTGGAGATTATAGTGAGGTTGGAATATACTAACAAGAGTAACAAGATATACAGATTACCAGTATAACCTACTATAATATATCTCTCTTGGAGATTATAGTGAGGCTGGAATATATGTATTGTGGTACTTATTAGCAATGTATTGAAGATGCAGTGAATGTATTATAGTGAAGATGCACTGAATGTATTATAAAGAAGATGCAGTGAATGTATTATAGTGAAGATATAGTGCATGTGTTATAGTGAAGATGTAGTGAATGTACTGCAGTACATTCACAACATCTTCACTATAATACAGTCACTGCATCTTCACTATAATACATTCACTGCAGTGAATGTACTATAATGAAGATGTAGTGCATTTATTACAGTGAATCTGCAGTGAATGTATTATGTTGAAGATACAGTGAGTGTATAATATAATCGTAATAATTCAAATTCAAATTCAAATTCAAATTCAAAGTTTATTCTCTATAAGGATTACAATGCTGAGTTTACAGAAATTTGGTTATTGTTTGGTTTACATGTAGTAAAATTGTGATTACAGAGTGTACCACTAGAACGCTTAGCATGGCTAGGCATTTCGGGCATACTTAGTTTTATTCTTAATTGTAAAATATTACAAATTATGAGGTAAGTTGGTATTATGGCTAAGTGACTAAATACTATTTTGTGAGTTTAGCAATGTGAATGCTTTTGTTTTGGCACAGTATATAGTTTCAGTATATAGTTTCAGTATTGAAGCGATTTCTCCTGTCACTCTCTGGAGCGGGAACACTGCCGAGCGTTCCCATATGGTTCCTGGTTGTCTCTAAGTCTACGGATAAGCTCCGCCTACTGTTTTATGATGCCAAATAGTCAGTTATTATATTAGAAAGAATAATGCAAGAAAAAGAGATAAAAAACAAGGAAAAAATTCCAAAAAATATATAAGCTGTGAACAGACTCGCTACCCACATCGCCGTCACCATACCTGATATAAATGACTATAATTTCTTGTAGAAAAGTCGTAGAACATTGATTCTTGTACCATTGTGTTGCCAAAGAGTTAAACTATTTTTCGGTATAAATAACTCAATTTCCATAATTTTTCGTTTTTTTTTTTTTGGGGGGGGGGAGTGCGCGCGGAAACATGGATCAGGGCCCCCTTAAGAAGGCACAATACGTTGATGCATCGGTCTGACTTGGATCATTAACTAGTACACTAGTATCACTAATTAATGGTCCAAGTATTCTCGACTATGGGCGGACTGCATACGTTACAAACGCCTTACCCTGATACCTCAAACCCAGGGTTCCCCAAAGTGGTCAGTATTGATCCCTAAGGGTCGATGGTACAATCGAAGGGGTCGATAAACGGCTGGGGGTCATAAGGGGGCCAGTAAATGTCTGGGGATGTGCTTTGCATTGTGTATCTGTGACATTCCACCATCCCTCTTGTCTCTCTCATCTTCACTGTCCTGGGAAGGATACATGTACATGTAGTATTCCCGTACTGAGTGTACTCCCTCATCTCAAACTCTGTTGGAGAGTCAGTACATTCTGAGCACCCATAACGACAGTAGTGGTGCCAAAGAAGTGACATTGTAACACCCATAATGCCAGCTGCTGATGCCAAAAAGTGCCGACAGTATTCACAAGAATATTTAAAATTTGGATGCATAGCTTCATTTACCAGTGAAACAAAACCTATGTGCCTCTTATGGGGAAAAGACTTTCAGTAATCATGCCGTAGCACTATTAGTTAAAGTACTATTTATTAAATTATTTTCATATAACAAATGGGGATAGATGAACAATCTGAAACTTCATGAAGGAGGCGATGAGCTGAAGAATTTGGGGACCCTTGATCTAACCCATGTTGTGCAGCTTGCACTGACAGTCATGAGGTAGGTTTGCCAGGACGGGTCCTGGCCCAGGTCTCCTCCATGTGGTAACCCGGCAGTGGCTCCCCGAAGGAGTGTTGGTGTTTGTTCAAGTGATGTACTCTGTGGCCCTGGAGGGCCCGGGTTTGATTCCCGGCGGGAAGAAACATTTCGACGCGTTTTCTTACACCTATTGTCCTGTTTACCTAGCAGCAAGTAGGTACCTGGCTGTTAGTCTGCTGGTGTGGGTCGCATCCTGGGGAACAAGATTAAAGACCCCAATCAAATCAAATCAAATCAAATCAAGTTTATTCTCTATAAAGATTACAATGCGGGGTTTACATATTTTAGGATATTGTGTGGTTTACATGTTATAAAATACTAATTACAGAGGGGGCCACTATCACACCTTTGCATGTCTAGGCATTTCGGGCAGACTAAGATTTAAAAAAAGTCAGACAGTCCTCGATGACGCACTGCCTTTCTTGGGTTATCCTGGGTGGCTAACCCTTCGGGGTTAAAAATCCGAACGAAATCTTATCTTATCTTATGTACCGTTTACAGCCCTATAGCAGGGGCACGGTGAGCATCTGTGTCAAGCGGAGTACCGTTTACAGCCTTATGGCGGAGGCAGCCCTATGACAAGGGCACACTGAATCTTCTTCAGGTCAAATGGAGTACCTCTTACAGCTCTATGACGGGGTCAGCCCTATGACAAGGGCATGGTGAGCCTTCTTCGTGTCAAGTGTAGTACCATTTACAGCAACATGGCGGGGGTGGCCCTATGACAAGGACACGGCAAATCTTCTTCCGGTTAGGCAGAGTACCGTTTACAGCCCTATGACGGGGACAGTCTTATGACAAGGGCACAATGAATCTTCTTCAGGCCAAGCGGAGTACAGCTTACGGTTCTTTGACGGGAACAGCCCTGTGGCTAGGACACAGTGAGTCTTCTTCAGCAAAAGTGGTGTAGCAGTCAGCTACAATCGTCCTGTAGCTGGGGTACGGTACATCTTCGGTTCAAGTGATGTCAGGGCCGGTGTTCTTGCTGGTATGAGGCTTTCAACTCTCAAAAGCTCTGCTCCATTTGAGCGATTCCTGGCATTCTGGCAGCAGCTCGAATGCCAGAGTGACTCAGGAGATTCTCTGGAGATATGTTGGACACCACCTGCTGCTGTAAGACTCAGTTAGTAGTTGTAGAGTTAATGCTGGTAGTGGAAGTAGTATAGTAGTAGTAGTGATAGCAGTAGTAGTGGTATTAGTAGTAGTTGTGGCGGTAGTAGCAGTAGGAACAGTAGTAGTAATAGTAATAGTAGGAGTAGCAGCAGTAGTAGTAGTAGTAGTAGTAATAGTAGTAGCATCAGCAGCAGTAGTAGTAGTGGTAGTAGCAGCAGAAGTAGTAGTAGTAATAGTAGTAGTAGCAACAGCAGTAGTAGTGGTGATAGTAGTAGTAGAAGTAGTAGTAGTAGTAGTAGTAGTAGTAGTAGTATAGGAGTAGCAGTACAAGTAGTAGTAGTAGTGGAGTAAGTCTAAGGACAAGAAAAGGGAGCACTGCAGGAGAGCTAATGGCCCACAAGGGTGGGATCAAAAGCACAGTGGGAAAAACTGAATGGGCAGAACACACTTAGGCAAAAGAAAGGAAAGACAGAGAAAATATAGGAGAGCAGAGAAAATATAGGAGAGCTAAAGAGAGGAGATAAAAATCAGGTCAGGTTACGAATGTTCTGAAGTGTAAAGAGACAGTGTAAGGAGAAGGAAGGCATCTACAGAGACAAAGCCAGAACTAAGATGCATACTAGGGAAGTTGTGCATAAGAAATGTTTCAACAAGACAGCGTCTGTGAAGATTTGAAGAAGGGTAGACAGTTTTGGCAGAAGACCAGTCAATAGGGCAACTGTGATCTCTAACATGACAGAAAAAAAAGCATTACTGGTGTCGGCAGATCTAACACATCTCTTGTGTTCTTTTAAGTCTGTCAGAGAGAGGGTAACCAGTTTTTCCAAAGTATTGGAGAGAACAAGAGGACCAGGGAATAGACTCCAGAAGCATCAATTGCAGGTGGAGTTAATGTTCCGTGTCAGACAGAAACGTCGTCATAAGTTTATCCCATGTGCGAGTTATTTATGTATTGTTGCAACACCTGTCATTGCACATATGTCTAATTCATCACTTGTGGGTAATGTACAATATTAATTTTACGATTCTGTTCAATCAACCGCTGCAGAGTTGCGTGTTGTCATGCACTACCATCCCTGCTCTTTCATGAACAAAAAACAATACCGTGACTAGAACACTACACAAATAGTAATAATATTGGTAGAATTCCCCAGACTGCGCATCATCTAACCACTAAGTTAACATTTAAAAATCAGAACACTGGTAGCGAGACTCACTCCATGAGGCGTCGCACCCACAACAATCCTCCTCCTCCTCCTCCTCCTCCTCTTCCTCCTCTCCACGGGGAATTTCACGTTCCCGTTCCTCTTTCCGGAGGAAACTTTCTTTTCCCTTTTAATTCCTGGCTATATTCTGTCCAACATATATTTCCCGGACCTTCAGAATGCAGGATTCAATAAGGTCCATGTTTTACGGAGCCTTAACAACCCCAACAAGAGGATCCTCATTGACGTCCATTTTGTGAGGGAAGCTGAGGGTAAGAGACTGATTTATCATCTCTCTCTGTTTAACCACTTATGCTGCCGCTGATTTCCTCGTGGAGTATCTCCTGGAATTTTTGAGTATTGCTGCGACATATTGTGCTTGTGGTTGAGGTGTATGGAGAGCAAGGAGGTTTTATATTCATGTTTGTCAGGGCTACGGGAGTAAACTCAATGAATAACCTTACAGTTTCTTTGTCTTATTACCTCCCGATGTGAGAGATTAATGGGCTTATTTCAGTAATTATCCTGCTCAATTCCATGTCTTCCATTTCCAATATATACATATTTTAAGTGTCTATCTCAAATTTTTAACAGGTCAGGGGAAAAATTCCTTTTAAGTTTTTCACGGTCTATTACGTTATCTATTACGTTATCTATTCGTTAATCTACGTAATAGATAATGTAGGAAGTAATGACGTTTACAAGTAAATATACATAATATATAACCACTATATGACTATAATTTTTATTGCATATACTGTGGAAACCTGTGAATTATTTGCATATTTTACCTAATAAAAGTTTATATTAATTTTGTTATTATTTATCAAGTGTTTATTGTTTATTGAGATTTAAATTATTACTAAAGATGTACATGAAAGGAATGTTCATTGATTTCAGATACAGATGATTCTTAGAGCTATAGTTGGGGCTATAACTTGGCTATAATCATGGCTATAGCTGGGCTATAATCAAAACTATATCTAGGCTATAATCAGGGCTATGGTTAGGCTATAATCAGGGCTATAGTTAGGCAATAATCAGGGCTATATATAAGGCTATAGTTGGATTGTAGGGTTATAGCTGGGCTATAATTAGGGCTATATCTAGGCCATAATCAGGGCTGTAGCTGGACTGTAATCTGGGCTATATCTAAGGCTATAGCTGGTCTATAATCAAGGCTATATCTAGGCTATAACTAGGTTATATCTGTGTCTTTCTCAAGCTCAACAATCCGTCTCTCATATATTAGGTGCAGCTCTTTATGGCCCTTAAGGGTTTAATGCTTAATTTAAATTATGTATTTTCTACTTGTGTACTTCAGTCATATCTATCTTTGTGCTATATCTTTCAAGAAAGTGGAGGGTTGGCAGTCCCAGTCTCTCTTTGTATGAATGTTTGCTTTTTTGTGTGTGTGCATGTGTGACTTTCAGGAAAACAAAGTTATACAAGATCACAGCCAATAAGTTATTTTGTCTGACTTTTTTTTGGATAATGAGAACCTTCAAAACTAGGGATGCCAAGCCCATGATGATACTCTTCAGGTCGCTTGTTCTATCTAGGCTGGAATATTGCTGCGCACTAACAGCGCCTTTCAAGGCAGTTGAAATTGCTGACCTAGAAAATGTACAGAGAACCTTCACAGCGCGCATAACAGAGATAAAACACCTCAATTACTGGGAGTGCTTGAAGTTCCTGAACCTGTATTCCCTGGAATGCAGGCGGGAGAGATACATGGTTATGTACACCTGGAAAATCCTAGAGGGACTAGTACCGAACTTGCACACGAAAATCACTCACAACAAAAGCAAAAGATTCGGCAGACGATGCAACATCCCCCCAATGAAAAGCAGGGGTGTCACTAGCATGTTAAGAGACAACACAGTAATTGTCAGGGGCCCGAGACTGTTCAGCTGCCTCCCAGCATACATAAGGGGGATTACCAATAGACCCTTGGCTGTCTTCAAGCAGGCACTGGACAAGCACCTAAAGTCGGTACCTGACCAGCCGGGCTGTGGCTCGTGCGTTGGATTGCATGCAGCCAGCAGTAACAGCTTGGTTGATCAGGCTCTGATCCACCATGAGGCCTGGTCACAGACCGGGCCGCAGGGGCATTGACCCCCGGAACTCTCTCCAGATACTCCAGATATCCTAGGTAATTTACACATACATTACTACACGGACCAGGATGCAGGGGCGTTGACTTCCCAGGTATGTATTATTGTACTTAAGTGCACCTGTACCTAAATAAACTTAATAATGATGTGAACCTCAGACTACCTGGAGTTTACCTGGAGAGAGCTCCGGGGGTCAATGCCCCCACGGCCCGGTCTGTGACCAGGCCTCATGGTAAATCAGGGCCTGATCAACCAGGCTGTTACTGCTGGCTGCACGCAATCCAACATATGAACCACAGCCTGGCTGGTCAGGTACGACTTTAGGTGCTTGTCCAGTGCCTGCTTGAAGACAGCCAGGGGTCTATTGGTAATCCCCCTTATGTATGCTGGGAGGCAGTTGAACAGTCTTGGGCCCCTGACACTTACTGTGTTGTCTCTTAACATGCTAGTGACTCCCCTGCTTTTCATTGGGGGGATGCTGCATTGTCTGCAGAGTCTTTTGCTTTTGTAGGGCGTGATTTTCGTGTGCAAGTTGATACTAGTCCTACTAGGATTTTCCAGGTGCATATAATCATGTATCTCTCCCACCTGCGTTCCAGGGAGTACGGGTTCAGGAACTTCAAGTGGGCAGATTAAAGGTAAATAAGTTGCTAGGCCCAAATGATCCAAAGAATACAAACATAAATGTAGTATACTGTTAGCTGGTCTTTTTGAATTAGTGCCCTGGATTACTAACCCAGGACACTTATTTAAAGCCAGGCAGTATGGTTTATTGCCATTGGTACCCTAGGTTCTCCCATTGAGTGTGCCCCACACCTGCCAGCTGGGTACCTCCATACTGTATTTACTGATAGGTGAAAAGGGGCAGCAGGTGTTAGGAGACTTGCTCAGGCTTGGCCATTCAAGCCCTGATCCACCATGAAGCCTAGTCACAGACCGGGCCGCAGGGGCATTGACCCCCGAAACCCCCTCCAGGTATATCTTTCCTTTTCTGCCTGGAATGCACTGCTTTCTTTTGTGCCTAACAATATTTTATTACATATAAACTACATTACCTGTATGCTGCAGAAAAAAACTATTTGTATTTATTTAATTGGTTCTTTAGGTTGTGAGCCAAATGTTGTACCACTGAGCTACCTGCAAGTAGAATTTATTGCAGTGAAGCTTCTGTTATACTGTGTACCCCCCTCAAGGGAGGTTTCTTGATGCTAGTGAGGAGCTCTTGATCCAAAGAACTGAACCAGACCCTTTCCTTGGATTAAACCTGATTGCCTTTCATTTTCCTCAGGTGCTGCATGATGACTATGGCATTAGCGCCCCCTTTCCATGAATGTAATAATAAAATACTGTCATTTATAATGTTATGTATTAATTTTTTGCAGATGTATGTATGATGACAAGTATACTTGAGTAACGAGTTTTAATAATGAACACTACTGAATGTAGATCTTTGAAGAGGAAGGTAGACAAGTCACAGCATCATGGAGGAGGTAAGGTATCTTTATGCTTCTGTGAATGATAATGCAGTATAGCCTGTGAAATTTTTATATAAATTGCTCTAAAGTTATGTATGTGCTTTACAGTACATATATATTTTTAATTATCTCTGCTTGGTAAACAGTGTTCAGTCATTATTTACCCATTGTGCATTTTCTTATCCTTTCTGCAAAAACTCTGCATGTTATAAAACATCACTGAAATGCTAGGGGTAATGGGGTAGTTCAGCTTAAAATTCCTTGAACTAGAATTTTGTGTGCATCTGATTAATTCATACTGATAATGTAAAGTACTGTGTATAAAAAGAACCTAAGTATAATTCATTATTTTCAGTAAATCTTATGTGCATTGTATAATAAATAATATTTTGTGCATTTTCTCTCTTGCAGGCAGAAGTAAAATTGCAAAAGAAGCTAGCACTGAAATATTGACGACCAGCATGCATCTTGTAATGCTGAGAGATAACGACTGGACTTGCTTAGACTCCTCACCATCACCATGGGAAGAAAACACTTCAGCCAAAATTTCTGAAAGGGAAGAAAATGAGGATGGGTCAATTAGTTGTGGAGTTATGTGGAAAGGAAGTGATACAAATCAGTTAGAATCTACTTTATTACAGGTAACAGTTATAAACTGCACTTATGTGGGATTGCCTGTTTTTTGGTGTTAAGGACCTCATATTTATTTGAAAAATCTTCCAGTAAAATAGCTGCATGATGCATTACTGTCTCTTGTGAAGAAAAGTTTTTAGTGTCATTTCTGTGTTGCATTTTCCTAGTTTAAAGTTTTGATCATGTGCTCTTGTTGATGGTGCCATGAAATGTTGTATGATATATATACAATGTGTTTTCAGTTATTTTTATTATTTTGGTGTATTATATGATTTCATTGTGTATGAAAGTTTTTATTATGTGCTCATTTTATGGTGCTTTTACAGGTATGTTTGGACTGCAAGAGAGAAGCTAATGGCAAGAAATTTAACTGTGAAACACAGATGTTTTATTGTTTTCCTGTGACATCCACTAGAGAAGTACTGATTCCTGAGATAGGCTGCCAGACAGCCACATCAAAGCAAGCTACATCCACTAGCAGAAACCTTAAAAATATAAAACAGGAAGTGCAAGACCAAGTGAGTTAGAGAACTGTTTTGAGAATGCTATAAAAATTCAAAGACTGATTATGTATGAATGATGGTGAAAGTGTTGAATAATGAAAGTTTTTTTCTTCTATTTTGGGTTTTTCTTTCGTTTTGAGTCACCCTGCCTTGGTGGGAAACGGCCGATGTGTTCAAAAAAAAAAAAAAAGTAATATTTAATACAAAACATTATTCCAGTTCGAGCAGTATAGTAGGTTTGGGAGTAAATAAAAAAAAATTCTTCAAAATGCAGTATTTTTAGAATCCTCAGTGTATATCTGGAAAAGTATTTCATTTTTTTATTTGCCAATGCTCAATAGAAATGGAAAACAAAATATTTTATATATAGCCATGCTCTTAATAAAGAATGAATTTCATTTTTTTATTTATAAAGTTTTTTTTGTCAGATGTGTCCAGCAACGCTTATTTAATAAAATGGCACCTTTGTCTTTACATTTTACATGATATTTTTCAGGAATATTGTGACTGATTACCCACTTAATGTTTATTTTTTTTATACAGGATTGTACGAGTCATCCATTAGTGTGCTGTGTTCGTGGGTGTGAGAGCAGGTCAGATGAGGTGGACCCCAGTGTATCATTCTACACTGTACCTAGTGATGAGGAACAAAAGTTGCTCTGGACAGAACTGTTTGATATTGTGTAAGATTTCTTTGTTGTATAATCATGAAAATTTATTTAAGTCGAGTGTAAATTGTTTGTTTTTTCAACAAACTGGCCATATCCCACCGGGGCAGGGTGGCCCAAAAGGAAAAACGAAAGTTTCCCCTTTTAAATTTAGCAATATATACAGGAGAAGGTGTTACTAGTCCCTTGCTCCTGGCATTTTAGTCGCCTCTTAAGACACGCATGGCTTACGGAGGAAGAATTCTGTTCCACTTCCCCATGGAGATAAAGGAAATAAACAAGAACTAGTAAGAAAATGGAAGAAAACCCAGAGGGATGTGTGTGTGTATATATACTTGTACATGCAAGTGTAGTGTGACCTAAGTGTAAGTAGAAGTAGCAAGATATACCTAGAAATCTTCCATGTTTATGAGACAGAAAAAAGATACCAGCATTCCTACTATCTTTCTTCTTTCAACAAACTGGCCGTATCCCACCGAGATGGGGTGGCGCAAAAGGAAAAAACAAAAGTTTCTCTTTGTCATTGATGAGCTCTTGATCCAGTGAAGTTGAGCTACCACCCATTCTTATAGGTTCAGCACTTTATGAAGATGGTTGGTGTGTTTAAAAAAATCATTAGATCATATGATCTTGTTTGCCATGTTAAGCATTTTGTGACCCCTCGGTAGCAGTTTTGTAAACTAATACAACTTGGAAATGCTGGTAGCCATATTTTAACGGAACTTCAGTTGCATCACTTCATTGATGTCGCATATCAGGGATCACATGGTAAGCTGTATTCTTTTGTTTTCATAGCTCTGATTGCTTTTTTATTAATTAAATGTAGTCCCCCACTTTACAAGTTCTATATAAAACTAGATACTTTTCCCCATGTATAAGAATATGGTAAACTGACTACCAGTGGGCTCTGTATTCTTCACCTGACTGCAGGAGTAGAACCCTCAAAGCTGGTAACAGGCATACACAGCCTTTGAATATTCATGACTTGTAATGTCATCATGGGCACTTTACAGACATTGTATATAATCTTTGTTTTGCTATCAGTAAGCTTTTAATATCTCCCAGATCAAGGAAGATGTATAATAACCATTTCTATTTTTGCTGATGTTCATGAATACTTTTATTGCAAAAAAGACAGAGACTATTTTTTTTTATATAATACATGTATGCATTATATTACCTTGTCAGTGCTTCTTTTTCATGTCACTAATTATTATAGCTAATCTGTTACATGTTACAGTATTATTTACAGCATCTTTGAACATTAATGGTGTAGTAGCACCGTCTGGTTAGGCCCCTCAAGGGAGGATCCTTGATAAAAAAAAATGCACAATACTGTGACTGGAACAGTACACAAATAACCTGCACATAGAAGAGAGGAGCTTATGATGACATTTCGGTCCTTGATGTAGGGAGGAGCTCTTGATCTAAGGAAGGGAACCTGTGCTCCTCTTTCTTAGATCAAATCTAAATACCCGCCATTGCCCCAGGCAATGTATGACCCCTGTGAATTTAGCTTTCCCCCATGAATGTAATACTATCAACAATAATCTGGTTAGTGTGGGTTAGCTGAGATTAAAACTGTGTTTATGTCATGAAAGACCATTTCCTACCATTGTAGGGGAGAGAGAAGAAGAAAAACACATTGAGTGTCACTCATACCCTCGCTGTTTTTCCAGAATTACGTGGACATCGCAATTCATATGATCTCCTGAATTGCAACATCTCCACTCATTCACCAATATATTTCTTTTATAAGGATTTCATCACATTCATTTACTTAGTTCTCTTTACCTTTGACATTTATTGTTTGATTTCATTATACTAAAACTGCATTGGATATTTTATTAGTACATTACAATTAATTAGATATAATTTATTTCAGACCTGACTATCAAAGATTATCTCATCATCACGTGTGTAGTCGACATTTCATGACACCAAAACAATTACCAGTGACAAAAACAAAAACAAGAAAAAAGAAAACTTGTGATATGGTATGTATAGCATCTTTATATCCAGTATTCAGGTACTGCCTTGCATTTTATTATTCCCAGCAACCACTTCTCATACACAAGTCCTGGTGTTATCTTAATACTGCACCTTACTTCACTTACTTTATGCTCTCTTTCCAAACACTCACTCTTGATTCATTTAGCTGTACTTTTAGTTAATATTTTCTTCTTTTCTTCACCTTCCAACTTTATTTTCTTCGTTGTTCATTTCACATTTCTATCATTTTTACTTTCTTTTAGTTTACGTTACCATATATTGTTAGACAACCCTGTTTGCTACATCATTACTCACCTTTTATTTAAATCTTTTGAGGAAGAGTTACTCCTGGCCCTTTTTGTATATTAAGATTCCAGCAGTGTGTGATGTGAATATCATGCAGAGAATTCAGAGCATAGACATTAAAAGAATATAAATGGGCATAATTCAGAAGGCTGAGGAGGGGTTACTGAGGCAGATTTAATGTGTAGAGAGGATGGAGAAGGATAGGATGACAAAGAGGATGGACGGTAGGAGGGGTAGGTGTTGTCTCAATAATGGTTGAAGGGAGAGGATAAAAGAGACTTTTGAGTTTTAGGGGCTTGAGCATCCAGAAGGCTTGTGTTGAGCATGTTAAAGAGAAGTGAGCAGAAACAAGTGATTTTTAATGCATGGAGTGTAAGCATGGCAACTCTTATGAAAGGACTCAAGGAAACCAGTTAACCAGTTAGCTGGACATGAATCTTGGAGGTCTGAAGGGCAATGCCTGCACTTTGATGGAGGAGGATTGGAGATGTAGTCGGAGGGAAATAAGAATTGTGATGTCGGCAAACTTCTGGCAAGACAGCAGTTGAATGAATGATGGTGAATGTGTTTTTTTCTTTGGGTTACCCTGATTTGGCAGGAGATGGTCAATGAGATAAAAGAAATAGAAATTGTACTTGATGATAGAGTATATATTTTCTTTCAGCTGTTGGCAGAGGAGGCTGAGAAAATAAAGCAAGGGTTAGCTGCTGGTCGACCAAAGAGAACTCCAAAACCCAACAAGAATTATGACTGGGCTGAACTGTAAGACCTTTATACTTAATGAAATCCTTGCATTATTGCATGATAGCATATATTAAACACTGTCCTCACAGTTGGAATGTAGTAAAGTTTAGTTTAACAGGCCATCATTTAAGAGATTTCAGAAACAACAAAATCCACTGAGTACAGAATGAGTGACTAAAGTCATGATTTGCATAGCATGGGCCAGTAGTGCAACTGCAGTGCTGCTTTGCTGTTATAGGAATATACTAGTTTGGCAGTAGAGCTAGCTGTCAGTGAGGGGAACAAACTGCCAAGTAGACTCATCAAAGCTAACAGCTTGGATAGCTTTAATAGCTTGGATAGCTTGGCATATCAGTCAGTTCCAGCTATTTTAAATACACATAGTTTCATGCATCTGTTTTTTTTTTTTTTTTTTTTTTTTTTCCTCCAACTTGGAGTATTTTACACAAAATTTAAATAAGTTATTGAAAACAACATTTACATTTGTCTGAATTTAGTCAACTGCAATATTAATGGTAAGGCAGCTCCCAATACTAAAGTGTAAATAACAATGATCAGTATATAAAAAAAACCATATGGAGAAAATAAAACATTAGGGTAAGAGTATTACTGCATATTTTGACTTCAGTGTGAGGTCTTCATCAACAGGCACTGCTGAAGAGGGGCTCAATATGAGGCAGAAATATATAGTACGGTACTCCTTTTACCTTGTTTTTTTTCCACTCCATGTGAGTTTCTCTGCATCTTGAAGGCTAATATAGGATTTGTCTTTTTTTTTTCAGTGCCACTTTCATCAAAACAGAGGTTGATACCCCAGATGAAATGGACCTTATACCAGTTTCCAAAACATCAACGAGGAGTCTTGGTTTAGCCACTCGACAAAGAAAGCAACCTTTTGCCAGTGTGAAAAAGGAAGACAAAGAAAACGAGAGTCCTTCCCCTGATGCAGACACATCAGTTTTTGAGAATGCAGATGAATATGGGGAAAATGTTAGTTTACCTAGTCACCCCAGAGCACCTCCGCCAAAACCAAAAGGGCGACCACACAGAATTAGAGATATATGTACCCAAACTGTAAGTGTTAAATGTTGACAGAAGTTAATCTGTGAATACAGTAGTCCCCCTGTATCCACGGGGGATACATTCCAAGACTTGCTGCAGATACCTAAAACCCTGTATATGTAAGTCGTTTTTTGTTTACGTACATTCCTATGATAAAGTCTAATTAATAAATTATGCACAATAAGTCGAGAATTAACACTTTCTTCACTGATGGGAAACACTTCATGGCTTCTCTTAGACTTTAAAGAACTGCCAGCATCACTACTTTTGCACTTTGGGGCCATTATTAAGCAAAATTAAGGGCTATTTTTGGCCCATGGTAAACCAGGAAACTGTATCCATGGATACAAGGGTTCTACTGTATACTATATAAGGTAAGAAGAGGTTACATGTGATCACTAATGAGTGGAAGTAGATAGGAATTAATGAATAATTGACATATTATTTGTGACAGTTCAACTCAAGGGGCAACAGCATGAATTAGAGGTGACTGGTTTTCTAATTGTTCAAACTTTGAGTTTTTTTTTTTTTCTTCAGAGAAATATATCTACATCTTTTTTCAACGTGTCAGCCATCTCCCACTGAGGCAGGGTGACCCAAAAAAGAAACACTTTCACCATCATTCACACATAATCACTATCTTTGCAGAGGCACCTAGATATGACAGTTTAGATGTCATTCCAAACAGCCAATATCCCAAACCCCTCCTTTAAAGTGCAGGCATTGTACTTCCCACTTCCAGGACTCAAGTCCGACTAACCAGTTTCCCTGAATCCCTTCAAAAAATATTACCCTGCTCACACTCCAACAGATCGTCAGGTCCCAAAAACCATTCGTCTCCATTCACTCCTATCTGACACACTCACACAGGCCTACTTTCTTTTTTCAACAAACTGACCATATCCTACTAAGGCAAGGTGCCCCTAAAAGAAAAATGAAAGTTCCTGTTTTTTAAATTTAGTATTTTATACAGGAGAAGGGGTTACTAGCCCCTTGCTCCCGGCATTTTAGTTGCCTCTTATGACACGCATGGCTTACTAAGGAAGAATTCTGTTCCACTTCCCCATGGAGAATGCATGCCTACTATCCCTCTTAAATAGTTTCTGACAAGCGTGGCTGTAATATATATTGTGAGCAGTGAGAAGCTAGTGTTTGTTAGGGCAGTGCCCTAAAAACATCAATATATGAAGATAGGAAATGATAGGAAAGTAGGTGTGCAGTGTTTTTTAGGTTTTGGGAAAAAAATGTGTGTTGTTTTCTTTGGGCCAACGTGCCTTGTTGAGAAATGGCTGATGTGAAGAAAAAAATTAAGCTTATGTCAATTGTGTTGATATAATTGGTACCAAGCTAATAATGACTTGGAATTTTGATTATTGTAGGATGTGCTTCCAAGTTCTTCCCTGAAAATACCATTACGTGAGGTGAAGGTGCAGTGTAATCTAACAAATGAACCTCTTGTATCCTGTCCCACTTGCTCCATTATTAACTGGATGAGGTAAGTAATAACCTTAAACTTTTGTCACAGTAAAATCCTTGCTGCATATGTTGGTGCTTAAATGTGTAAATTTTAACGTATGGTATCTTAGATACCTTTTAATGCATTATCAATCATTTACTGTACTTGATAAGCAAAACAACTGTAGAATAGGTATGTAATTCTGAATCTGGGACAGTACTGGAAATATTTGCCTGGAGGATTGGTGGGAAATTTGTGGTTTAGATCATGTGGTGGCAAATTTTAAGGTGTATGAAACATAACCCTATTTTTTCCCATATGTTTTTCTCTTTATGTAACACTGTATTATGTTACATTCTGATTTTCAGGAACATAATTCACTCATTATGAGAAGATTTACTGTGCTGTATGTACAGTATATGTTTTTATAAATATTGTATTTAGTTTAGAAACTGTTCTTATTTCTACAGTCTTAATATTTGTTACTAATATTTTTATTTTTTCCAGACTAGAGGAGCTCCTGATTGATTGTCTATCAAAAATTGAGAGAGTATTTCACGATCCATTACTGAGTATATGCCTGGACAAGGTGCTGGGCAATATAGAGGAACCCAACCATGCCACTAATGTCCTTAAACTTCTTAGTGGAATGGAGAGAGATCTCTTGGAGGTAAATACAGCATCCGTTTTCATAAATCAATAGAAACTATAAATTATTTCTTGTATTATGTATGAAAAATAACCTACTCAAAAAATTGACAAACATTATTGTTGAAAATTGACAAACATCTATAAATTAAATTCATAGTAGATTTAATGATGTATTTACCCTTTAAAAGGGAGATTAAGAGGCTACAGTTATTAATTGAAAACAAATCAGTATTGTGTTACGATTGTTTTGGGTTAGTTTACGGTTTTTGGTCATTACACACTGATGTTATAGTAATTTAAAAGTACTGATAGCTAAGTGTTTAGTGTAGGGTAGGCAGTGTAGAATGACTCGCAAAATCATAATAACGTGATTGCAAATAAAACAGTATTGGTGGGGTTAGAAACCATGGCAAGTGAGTTGTAAACCTCCAGGCCACTTGCCATGGGTTCTAACCCCACCCATCTCATGGTTAGTGTAAAATGTGGTACATAGCAAATCTTTGAAAATATACCTACAGTATTTCTTTAAGATTTTCGTGTGCATGATATGAGGATCTTATTTTAATTTGCTGTCCAGATGTAGTTGCAAGATTTTTGCTTTTTGTTTGTGTCATTAATTTTAAAGTTTTGTTTGTTTGGATGCTGCATTACTAAACAGTATGTAGTATGTCTTTTTGTATATTAAATTTTAGTTTGTTGATTATCATCCATGTATAGAGCTTTTAAATTCATTGTTATGTTGCTTAAAACAATATGATGAGAATTTCAGTAGGCAAAAGATGAGTCATTTGCAAAGAGCATTTGCATCAGATGCTGGATGTTGTTAATGTACTTATTAAGAGAAATTGCCTGATGGAGGTCTTGATCCATATGATCAAAGCCTACAATGTGTTTGGCAGCTTCATGCAGGAACAGGAGCATCCATGAGGCTCCTTACCAGGAATTCCAGTATATGATCATGTGCAACTGTTAATAAGCATGTCTTGCAAAATAACCACCACTATATTAGGAATTTTTTGTTGTTGAGAAGTTGTAGAGTATTAGAAAAATGCTTAAACTGTTCTGTTATATTGTATGTATATATATATACATATATATTTTTCTTTCAGAGCCCCAAGGATATTATTTTAGTATCTAGTCAGGATGAAGAAGTTGAAATAGAAAATGTTATTCATCCAGAAGTTGTAAGTATTTTTGGACTGGATATTTAGTTTCATTAGTTTATGGTAAATATACAGTTTCTGAATTTAACTATTTGCTTCAATTTTAAAAATTTCTAATGTATTTTGCTGTCATAATGTACATGCATGTCACATTTTAAGACTGTATTGTTTCGTACTATTAATGAGCTTTTAAGTGTAATGTATGGTCATTGCTGTTCATGTCCGTCAATGTATACAGTAAATTCTCAATTCAGATTAATGGGTGGCCAGAAATGGCAATTCTGGTGCACAGAGTATTATTATTAATGTGAAAAGCATAGAAATGAGATTTTCCTGGACTGTAACATGATGGATAATTCTGTAATTGACGTTCATTAAGCCGAGATTCATTAAATCTGGGGTTTACCGTACATCACATCTCGTGTATGTATACATAACATCTCTTCTATATAGACATCACATCTCATGTATATACTGTACCTTTAGAAAAATAAATATAGTAGGTTGGTAGACAGCAACCACCCAGGGAGGTACTACCGTCTTGCCAAGTGAGTGTAAAACGAAAGCCTTCAATTGTTTTACATGATGGTAGGATTGCTGGTGTCTTTGGGCTGTCTCATAAATATGCAAGATTACAGGTACGTCTTGCTACTTCTACTTACATTTAGGTCACACTAAACATACATGTACACATTTATTTATACACACTCATCTGAGTTTTCTTTGACTTTATCTTAATAATTCTTGTTTTTATTATTTTTCCTTTTATATCCATGGGGAAGTGGAATAAGAATCTTTCCTCTGTAAGCCATACATGTTGTAAAAGTCAACTAAAATGCCAGGAACAATGGGCTAGTAACCCCTTTTTCTGTACAGATTACTTAAAAGAAGAAAAAATTGTCAACGTGAGATGTCTGAATGTGCGTGGATGTTGTGCAAATGATAAGAAAGAGATGATTGTGGATGCTATGAATGAGAAGAAGCTGGATGTCCTGGCTTTAAGTGAAACAAATCTGAAAGGGGTGGAAGAGCTTCAATGGAGAGGAATAAATGGGATTAGATCAGGGGTTTCAAATAGAGTTAGAGCTAAAGAAGGAGTAGCAATAATGTTGAAGGATAAGCTATGGCAGGAAAAGAGGGACTGTAAATGTATTAATTCAAGGATTATGTGGAGTAAAATAAAGTTTGGATGTGAAAAGTAGATTGTAATAAGTGTATATGTACCTGGAGAAGAGAGAAGTGTAGAGGAGAGAGAGAGAGGTTTTGGGAATTGTTGAGTAAGTGTGTGGGGAGTTTTGAACCAAGTGTGAGAGTACTTGTGGTAGGAGATTTCAATGCTAAAGTGGGTAAAAATGTTGTGGAGGGAGTAGTAGGTAAATTTGGAATGCCATGGGTAAATGAAAATGGGGAGCCTTTAATTGAGCTATGTGTAGAAAGAGGTTTGGTAATAAGTAATACATTTATTTTATTATCACACCGGCCGATTCCCACCAAGGCAGGGTGGCCCGAAAAAGAAAAACTTTCACCATCATTCACTCCATCACTGTCTTGCCAGAAGGGTGCTTTACACTACAGTTTTTAAACTGCAACATTAACACCCCTCCTTCAGAGTGCAGGCACTGTACTTCCCATCTCCAGGACTCAAGTCCGGCCTGCCGGTTTCCCTGAATCCCTTCATAAATGTTACTTTGCTCACACTCCAACAGCACGTCAAGTATTAAAAACCATTTGTCTCCATTCACTCCTATCAAACACGCTCACGCATGCCTGCTGGAAGTCCAAGCCCCTCGCACACAAAACCTCCTTTACCCCCTCCCTCCAACCCTTCCTAGGCCGACCCCTACCCCGCCTTCCTTCCACTACAGACTGATACACTCTTGAAGTCATTCTGTTTCGCCCATTCTCTCTACATGTCCGAACCACCTCAACAACCCTTCCTCAGCCCTCTGGACAACAGTTTTGGTAATCCCGCACCTCCTCCTAACTTCCAAACTACTAGAATTCTCTGCATTATATTCACACCACACATTGCCCTCAGACATGACATCTCCACTGCCTCCAGCCTTCTCCTCGCTGCAACATTCATCACCCACGCTTCACACCCATATAAGAGCGTTGGTAAAACTATACTCTCATACATTCCCCTCTTTGCCTCCAAGGACAAAGTTCTTTGTTTCCACAGACTCCTAAGTGCACCACTCACTCTTTTTCCCTCATCAATTCTATGATTCACCTCATCTTTCATAGACCCATCCGCTGACACGTCCACTCCCAAATATCTGAATACGTTCACCTCCTCCATACTCTCTCCCTCCAATCTGATATTCAATCTTTCATCACCTAATCTTTTTGTTATCCTCATAACCTTACTCTTTCCTGTATTCACCTTTAATTTTCTTCTTTTGCACACCCTACCAAATTCATCCACCAATCTCTGCAACTTCTCTTCAGAATCTCCCAAGAGCACAGTGTCATCAGCAAAGAGCAGCTGTGACAACTCCCACTTTGTGTGTGATTCTTTATCTTTTAACTCCACGCCTCTTGCCAAAACCCTCGCATTTACTTCTCTTACAACCCCATCTATATTTATCTATCTATATTTATGAAAAAGAGGATAAATAAATATACAAGGTATGATATAGCACGTAATGAAAGTAGTTTGTTAGATTATGTATTGGTGGATAAAAGGTTGATGGGTAGGCTTCGGGATGTAAATGTTTATAGAGGGGCAACTGATATATCGGATCATTATTTAGTTGTAGCTACAGTTAGAGTAAGAGGTAGATGGGATAAAAAGGAAAAGGGCAACAACAAGTAAGAAAGAGGTGAAAGTGTATAAACTAATGGAGGAAGAAGTTTGGGTGAGATATAAGCAACTATTGGCAGAAAGGTGGACTAGTGCAAGTATGAGTAGTGGGGGAAGGGTTGAAGAGGGCTGGAATAGTTTTAAAAATGCAGTATTAGAATGTGGGGCAGATGTTTGTGGCTATAGGAGGGTGGGTGCGGGAGGAAAGAGGAGTGAGGGAAGATGAAGAAAAGGGGTGTGATAAAAAAAAAAGGTAGCTTATGAGGGGTTTTTAAAAAGAAGTATTACAAGAAGGCAGGTATGGGGAGAGTAGAAAGATGAAGAAAGGGTGAGGGAGTGTAAAAGGAAGAAATGAAGGTGGGAGAGGAATGTCAAGAAATTTTGTTTAAAAATAAAAAACAAATTTTGGAGTGAATTAAAAGTTAAGAAAGCCGGGGAATGAAGGATTTGTCAGTTAAAAAAAGTGGGGGATTTGTAGAGGGGAGATGGGGGTATTGGGTTGATGGGGGGGAATTTTTGGGGAAAACTTTAAATGTCAACAAAGAAAGGGGGCAGTAATTTATGCCGGGCCCAGGGGGGTTTTAACCATTTTTTAGGAGTAAAGAAGAGCAGTTTTGAAGTGTGGGGGAGGTACGTGGCATTACGTGAATGAAAGGGGTAAAGTAGGGGAAAACTGACGGGATCATGACAGAAATGTATAAAAGCAGGAGGTGGGATATATAGTTTGGAGTGTTGGTATTTTTGTTAATAAAGTATAAAGAGGGGAAGGTACTTAGGGATTGGCAGAGAGCATGTTATATCCTTATATAAAGGGAAGGGGGAAAAAGAGATTGAAAAATTATAAGGTGTGATTTACTGAGTATAAAGGAAAATGTAGTTTTAGGGTTATTAGAAAGACATGGGGTAAGTGGAGAGTAGAAATGAGATAGAGAAGGGGTGTGAGGGGTAGGAGATGATAGATCAGGTTTTACATTGAACAAAATATTGAAAAATTAGATAAATTGGAGTTAGATTAACAAGTTAAAAAAAGCCTATGAGAATGGATAGGAAAACAATGTGGCAGATGTTAAGTATATGGGAGATGGGGTAATTAAATGCTGTGGAATTTTTTGAGGAATAGTGAGGTCAGGTAAAGGGGGTAAAGTTATGAACTGCTTCGGAAAACATCTTAGGAAAGAGGAGGAATGTAAGGTTGGTATATTTACGATGGGTTTAAAAGAAGTAAGGGTGGTTAATTTTTTTTTTTTTTTTTTTAACAAGGGGGGTCTCCACGAGGTTGGGTGAATTTGTTAAAAAATCCAAAAAGAAAGTACTTATCATATGACTTCACCACACCCACATTTCACTGTTTTGCAGAGGTGCTCAGAATACAACAGTTAGAAGCATATATATATAAAGATACACAACATATCCCCCAAACTGCCAATATCCCAAACCCCTCCTTTTAAAAAGTGCAGGCATTGTATTTTCCATTTCCAGGACTCAAGTCCGACTATATGAAAATAACCGGTTCCCTGAATCCCTTCACTAAATATTACCCTGCTCACACTCCAACAGATCGTCAGGTCCCAAGTACCATTCGTCTCCATTCACTCCTATCTAACACGCTCATGCACGCTTGCTGGAAGTCCAAGCCCCTTCCCACAAAACCTCCTTTACCCCCTCTCTCCAACCCTTTCGAGGACGACCCTACCCCCTTTCCTTCCCCTATAGATTTATATGCTTTCCATGTCATTCTACTTTGATCCATTCTCTCTTAAATGACCAAACCACCTCAACAACCCTTCTTCTGCCCTCTGACTAATGCTTTTATTAACTCCACACCTTCTCCTAATTTCCACACTCCGAATTTTCTGCATAATATTTACACCACACATTGCCCTTAACAGGACATCTCCACTGCCTCCAACCGTCTCCTCGCTGCTGCATTTACCACCCAGCTTCACACCATATAAGAGTGTTGGTACTACTATACTTTCATACATTCCCTTCTTTGCCTCCATAGATAACGTTTTTTGACTCCACATATACCTCAACGCACCACTCACCTTTTTTCCCTCATCAATTCTATGATTAACCTCATCCTTCATAAATCCATCCGCCGACACGTCAACTCCCAAGTATCTGAAAACATTCACTTCTTCCATACTCCTCCTCCCCAATTTGATATCCAATTTTTTCTTTATCTAAATCATTTGATACCCTCATCACCTTACTCTTTTCTATGTTCACTTTCAACTTTCTACCTTTACACACA